GAGACAATTGTCTCAATGATTACACGCGTTGACTATTGATTGATTGAATTGTTTATGTTGTGAACCATCAGAATAGGGATCAAATCAATTCCGACCACAGATTGAAAATACTTCTTGACGTAAGTATTGATGATTGATGTGATCCGCCATTCATTTCAATAATTATCTCATGTAATGAGTCATTACTAATGACCAAATGTGTGTCCATTGAATACAGCGATACGTCGAGTGCACCGAAAACCTTCTGGAGCTCTACGAAGACAAAGATGGCGCCCGAAAGGCAGAGGTGGACGCCATGTCCGGACCCAATGAGTTCTCCGAATTTTACGCGCGGCTGAAGAACATCAAAGAGTTCTACAGAAGACATCCAAATGAGATCAGTATTCCGATGGCCGTCGAGTTCGACGAGTTGTTCAAATTGCGAGACAATCCAAATGAGATTAATTTAGTTGACTTCACCGACGAAGAGGGTTACGGGAAGTTCTTGGATCTCAACCACTGTTTTGAGAAGTATCTCAATCTGAAAGGCGTCGACAAAATCGACTATTTGTCGTATTTATCACTTTTCGATCAACTCTTCGATGTGCCAAAGGATAGGAAACTGAACGCCGATTACGTCCGCTATTTGGAGACACTTCTGGATTATTTGCAGGATTACTGCTCACGAGTTAAACCATTGCTGTCGCTTCAAACCGTAAGACACATCCATTTGTATATTCAATCATATAATAGATAATATTAATTGATTTTATTATTAGTTAATGGAGAAAGTATTGGTCGACTTTGACAAGCAGTGGGAGTCGGGATCGTTCCCGGGATGGCCGGTATGGATGGCATTGCCATATATATTGTAGTTAACATGTGTTGATAACATACTTTGTATTACAGAAAGAGGCGGGCAGTGCTTTGACCCATTCGGGAGCGCATTTGGATTTATCCGCTTTTACATCGGTTGAAGAGTTGGCGTCACTCGGTTTGGATCGGCTTAAGTCGGCTCTCATCGCA